ACAATGACGTTAACCGACAAACCGACCAATGGGAAAATTAATCATAGCGCGTGCGTATAATACACAAAGTGCAACACCCCCACTTTTTGGCTTCAATTCCCTTTCAAAATGCTTTGTATATGTATAGAAGTATGTGACAAAATACTGTCACTAACACTACTCAAATATAACTGTATTTGATACGTATATAGTGTTGACATAATAAGAATTACCGGTGTTGCCAAATATACGCTATGAAGAATTATTATGCCAGAACGAGCAGTGCGTCATCTCACCTGATGTGTCATCTCTCCTAGATTTACCCTATGTGTTAAGACAAAATCTCGCAACCATGTAGATACCTTTACAAGCCGCTTTCTTTCTTAAACATTGCACTTACCTCTTTTTTAGTACATACATATTTCAAATGATGACGTAGTGTTTGTTTTTCTGAAAATATAATAGAATTTTTTATTATGTTTGCCGTTACACTGACATTCTTAGGTTAAAAAACATAAATCAATCGAATAAGCCTAAAATATAAAATCGAAAAAAATGTACTTTCCTACCGCCTTTTTATTAAGAGCGACGTGGCATACCACGTGACTTTCCGGGCCGTATAGGCTGAAAAACCAAATTTTGATAAGCAAACAGTGTTAACTTTAATATCCGTTACCAAATTCTCGATTTCTGTTTCGTCGAATGAGGTAGGCAATTTCTGCCATTCGGTTGTTAAATTACTAACGTCAATGAAATTGGAAAAATTACCAGCTAATGTTATTACATCTGCTTCACCTTACTTCAACTTACTAAATGACATTAAAATCATACGATTTATAACATCGTATCACGCTATTTTTACGGGAAAAACTTCATTTCATTTGTGTAGTTTCAAAAAATCCAGCTAATTAATTAATATAATAATAATTAATAACTAACTAGTGTATGAACCTTTCTTTGTTATTCAATGAACAGAAATTTAATACAGAAAAAAGTTATTTACAGAAAACAGAAAAAATTGGAAATTTAAGAAATATCTACTTAGAACTAAAAATTACTAATTACTATAAAAATTGTACAAAATGAGCACCGCCTTGCCTAATACATTCACGAGCCCGCCTAATTAGTGATGGCTGTACTCTCCAAATCATTTAAATACTATTCTTTATTTCCTGGCTATGGTGAAAAATCCTTTGCCGCAGTTCATCTTCACTTGCCACAGGAGTCCTGACCGGCCTATCCATCGATCTGGATAAACCATATTTAAGTGTTCCGTAACTCTTAAACTAAAATGAGGTGGAGTACCATCGTGCACAAGCCACATATTAATGCGTGCTTGTAAGGGAAGATCCTCTAATAGATTGGGTAGTTGTTCTTGGAGAAACTGTAAATATCTCTGGCCATTTAGACTAGGTGGTAATTCAACAGGTTAGATGATGTCCAATTATGCCTGCCCATAAATTGATTTGAAACTGCACTTGATGGTGGGTTTCCCTTATACCATGAGCGTTTTCGTCTGCATAAATGTGTGGATTATGCAAGTCGATGGGTCCGTCCCTACGAAAACCTGCCTCATCGGAAAATAGTATTGAGGTGGTAAAATTATGAGCTTGGTTAACCTTTTTCAAGAGCTAAGTGCAAAATTGTATTCTTGCAGAACAGTCATCCATGCTTAAACCTTGAACTTTTTGCATATGGTATGGGTGCAGAAGTTGTTCTTTAAGAATATTATTTACCGTGTATTTTGAAATCTGAAACTGTCGCGCTACATTCCTAACACTAACTGTAGGATCTTCAGCGACAGAATCCAACTGAACGAATAGTTCTCTGAACTCCACCATGTCGGCCCATATTTGGCATAAAACTACCTTAAATAATATTAAATTTGTTACAATTACAAATTAGAAACCTATCTATTATTCAAATTAAACTAATAGAGATGTCATACCAGTTTCCCGTAACCGTTGATCAACGCGTTGAAATGTATTTGAATTCGGTAGTTGTCTATTGGGAAATCTCTCAGCGTTTAGCCTTTGAGCTCTCAATGCATTACAAAGTGCTTCTCCATAAATTAAGTGCATATCACAATATTCTGTAAATGTATGCTCCATAACTAGGTATTTTTAAAATATTACAACAATTGTCAACCCGACACTTTAATTGTGTCATAACAAATAATAAAAACCATAGTAACGCTATGTGGAGATATTTTTAAAAGTCACTTGATTAATCCGTTAAGATATGACATCTTTTAATACAGTTTAGGATTTTCCACCATAGCCAGGAAATAGAAAGTCGCTTAAAAACGAAATGCATTGAAACTTGTATATGCAAATATCTCAATAACCAAGGGAGATATCTAAATCGCATAAGAGTAACTTTTTCATATTTTAAATACACAATGTCCGTAATTCTAAAGGCAAAAAAGCTTTTCCCCTTTTTATTAAAGGAATAGGGCATAACTAACGACCTGTACAAGCAACGTCAAAAATTAGTTAAAAATTCTTATTTGTCATGTCAAAAATCATAATAGTGCCAACTTTTTTGTTCATACTCTGACAGTTTTGGAAATTATTGAGGAATTTGAAAATAAAATTCAAACATTGAAACCAGCAACATTTGCACAAGGCATATTTGGCTCAATCGACTTATTTTGGTTACCAGTATCTCCAGCTTCGAGATTTCCCAACCTTTCGCAGACACCCTGTATATACGTTACATAATACATATTGAAGCAAAATTGATATTGTACTCTTTAATACATGCAAAATAATATATTTTCTTTGATATTCCATACCTTAAAAATGTTGTCGCGAGCAGTTTAATCCTACATAACAGCAGCAAATTTTCATTAAAAATCTTAATGATCAGTAGGCGTTGCTGCAATCCATTTTACCACCCTTCTCCACAGTTTTCTTAACTCCTTAATAGAGCGGCGTGGGTACCGATATAATTAATTACGTTTACTTAATTAAAGTACCTTGACGCTGAAATAATTTCTATTACCTTAATTAAGCCGTATAAAGTGTAAATAAAGAAATAATTAGTTAATTGCCGCCTACGGGGAAGATTTATTTTCGTAAAATTTGAGTGTGATTACTTTAAAAAACTTGGAAATGCGTATGTAGATATGTACAGGGTGATTCACTATATTTTGACCCCCCTTTAACTTTTTTGTTTTAAGAGTTATAAAAAAATATAAAATACAAAAGTTGCACGATTTTTTATGAATTTTTCGAAAATGACATTTGAAAAACAAATGAAGTCCAAACAAAATGGCCGCGGATATTAACTTTGTTAATTTAAATGGAACACCCTGTATATTTTTACATATTTGGATAGAACGTTCCTTGTCGAGCACAGTCATATAGGGTTTATTGGGTCCATCTCTAACAATAAGCGAGGTACTATTAAAAAACGGAAAGAATGTTTTTTATTAAGAAAATAAGATATCTTGTAATTGTTAGACCTCTTTCAGGCATTTCTGCCAAATATGTAAAAGTATACAGGGTATTCCATTTAAATTAACAAAGTTAATATCAGCGGCCACTTTGTTTGGACTTCATTTGTTTTTCAAATGTCATTTTCGAAAAATTCATAAAAAATCGTGCAACTTTTGTATTTTATATTTTTTTATAACTCTTAAAACAAAAAAGTTAAAGGGGGGTCAAAATATAGTGAATCACCCTGTACCTATGTTTCTACAAATAAATAAAATGTGTTAAAATGCACGGATATTTAAAATTAAAATATACGTACAAGAAAACCGCTTGACTATGATCACAAAAATTATATATATTATATTATATTTTCGTTTTATTTATTTGGCTATACCTACTAGACACTAGTTTGACAAATTGAAATTACTGAAATACTCTTTTCAGTCACCAAATATAGGTATTATACCTAATAAGAGCCCACTCAGGCACTAGGCACTAGTACGACGCCGACGTGCAGTTTTTATTACATTACAAGAAAAATTTTAATCGCGCACATTATTCAGATATAGAATAGTTTCTAGCATATCTTTTCGTTTGTGATTAAACGATATAATATGTATTACAAAAAGGTAAAGTCATAAGTCCAACAAACGATAAAGGAATCTACGGGATTTTCTCAGCTGATTTAAGAAAAATTAAGATTTATAATATTAGAGAAAATAAATAAATAGGAAGATGGTAGCTATATTTAGACAGTAGGTAATTCCTAAACAGAAAATAAAATCAATGTATGCAAATCTATATGCCTTAATTTCTTACTGCTCTGTGAACGTAAGAGGTGGGTTTTCACCGGTAAAAAATGACTTAAAACTACGCATAGATAAAAATGCAAAACCAACATCGGGGTCTACTTCAAACTAAAAACATACCTAACGCTCCATAATTACCGTATTAGAAAATATGGGCTAAGAAAATAAAACGCTAAAATTGCTCATTAATTAATAAATAATAATGAGCTGTAGTTAGCTAGGTACCTACTTAATGCAACAGTCGTCAAAGTAAGCGTTTAAGATCTTATTTAGCTACCTAGGTAATATAGGTATCTGTTCGTTGTCTCTTTTCCCATTATATTACATATTAGGTATTAAACTTGGCCACGATATTTTATCAAGTTTGTTATTGTTATTATTATTATCATTATCATTATTATTATCATTATTATTATCATTATTATTATTATATTTCCATCAATCTAGGACTAAACCGACCACTATGAAATTTAATCTGTACCTAATAAAATCTCATCTATTTCTTGTAAAATGTTTCATAATGGAGTCTTCTTGGGGCATACCTATACTTTTTTAACATATAAACCGGTTGAAAGGTTCAAGTGAAATCATCTACTACCTACGATTAGTTTTTTGAAAACATTGCAGAATACCTATACCTACTTATATATATATATAAGAACAGTCATCCATGC